CTAAGAAAAAAAAAGGGGGGGGGGGGGGGGAAGGAAGGAAAAGCATTCCAGCAGCAACTGTGCTTACAATTGCAATGCTGCTCTTGCACCCCTTATCCAGGGATTTCTTGACAAGATAAATATTATCCCCTGTTTACCAGGTAGCAAGATGGGTAGGCAAAGTTATTTTGTACCTGGAGTGGAAAGTCAGTGGCATCATCTGGAGTAGACAGACTCCTGCCACCCTGACTTCCAGGTCTTTGCTCAAAGGAATGTGATTTAAAAGGCTGTTTTCTCACAAAGCCTGACTCTCTTTAGTGTTTCAGGGTTGGGCTGTCCTTGGGAGAACTGAATAAAATTCCCCCTGCAAGAGGGAAGTTTTCCAGCGCTTGCTGGGAATCACTGTCAACAGCCTGGCCAGGGGATCGCAAAAAAGGGGTTTAAGCAGGGAGAGGAGCTTCTGTGAAGCATTCCCGGGGGTTTGCTTCATGGTAACGAAAGGGCAGATGAATTCTGCCCTATTGTATCCTGGGTAGTATTTGTAATAACTCAAGCATCACTTGACTTGGTTGTAAAGGTTAGCTTTGTTCGGTGGTTTGTTTTCCAACAGCTGTTCCCATGGAGAAGTCCCTCTTTCACTCACTCAGAATTCAGCCTGGGTTAGAGAAAGAAACCTTGAAAAGACTTGAAAAACAGGCCAGAAAAGGCATGGAGGTGGGGAGGCAGGATATGAGTAAGGAGAGGTCAGCCTCTTCTCAGAGCGCCCAGGGCTTGCTCGCACAAAGCAGCAACATTCAATAGTCAGGGACAGCCGTGTTTGCTCACTAAAACAAATTTTGAGATGTAGATACTTCTCACTGGAGAATAAACCCTCGAGGGTGATGCGTTGCTTTCCAGCCTCCTGCTGCTGACCCTTTTCCCCCATGAAGGACAGGCTGTTTCACTGCTGGTGTAACAAGTGTGAGCTCCTGGTGCTTTTGTCTGTTCCCACTGACGCTGCACAGTGCCCTTTGTAGCTGGGGGTTTGAAGCACTGGTAAAGACACGTTTCGGGATCAGGGAGGAAAGGAGCTGCGGATACTCTTTTCTGGGAGAACAAAAAGTGTAAATGGTGTTTGGGGGTAAGAAAAGCAAATACAAGTGAGAACAACATTCCAGCATAACGCCTCATACCAAGTAACATTTTTACTGTGTAAATAGTCTCCAACTAACTTAGCTGTATTTCAACTGTAAGCTCGTTGAGAGCAAATTGTGTTTTGATTGCATGAGGCGGTTTGACCAGCAGTGAGGCTGTTCGGTGCTAATGCAGCCAGCACAAAACCTATGAAGCCACAGTGCCTTTGAAAAGCTCTGTGCTCTAGTTGCTGCTTCCCAGGCATTGAGCTTACCTATTTTTTCAATCATGTCCCAGAATTAGAGGAGGTGCAATTTGGTTCGTACTGTGCTGTGTATGTGCAACCGAGGTGTATGGTACCAGGTTTCCCGTACCCGGAGGACATTTCGAATCAGACTGAGTGTATTTCAGCCATGAGAAGTGTCTAAGCCCAGCTGTGGTTACTCAGATCGTCTGTCACTACCTGCTTAAAGCAATGTGGCAGGAAAGGTTCTCATTTTTTTGCTTTATCTACCCAAACTCTGACTTTCTTAAAAGGTTATTGTTAGCTTAAGACACCTATCAAAAACCTTTCATATCCATGTTCCTAAGGATGCCTTTAATTACTGTAATGGAAAAGCACATTTAAAAATAATAATAATTTGTCAGTTGCTACTTACTGGTTTTATGTGGAGGATGAAAGTACAGCAGGAGTGTCTGTTTTGTTTATTTGCTGTAGTTTATTTTTAGTCTTTAGACTTCTTCAAGTATTTGCATAGTGTTGCACTGTTAAGGGTGGTGTTTACCCTGATTGTGGGCAAAAGAACTGTTTTGTAACTAAGGACATGAGGAGACACAGGAAAGTCCTGGTGAATTAGCTAAAGGTAGATAGGATTTCAAATTTTATTAGCCCCTCTTGCTGTCTTGATCCTAATTCAAAAGGTGTTAAATTTATGCAAATGTACTTTTGAATAACTGTCCATATAGGGAAGTAAAGTATTTTTGCACTGATGTATTTTAAGTGCACGCTCTAAATCAGTTTGCTTTTCAATGTGTGGGGAAGCTCTGTAGCCAAGGAATAACTTCCTCAGCTGCCTCCATGGTTGCAGTCTCTCATGGTGCTACGCATGTGTCCTGCCCCTTGTTACACCCACCTGCAGACCCCTGCCCCTTATGGTCTGGGGACCGAGGGGACCATAGAGAGTTGCAGGGAGTGCAGGGTAGTATCCACGCATCCAAGGAATCTGACACCCATCTCTCCCTCTACTCTCCCCTTGGTCCCATTACAGGTAATCTGGTTAACTATGGGATCCTTTGGATCCCACTCACCACAGCAGATAAGCTCCTTGGGTAGTTAGTGACAGTGCAGATGCAGTAGACAAAACCTCGTCAAATTGTGTGGGAGGGAGAAGGGTTGGGAAGTCTCACAGAGCCTATCGGTCATTCTCAAAATGCATTTCGTATGCAGTTTTGCCATAACAGAGCGTTACCCCAGGCGGTGGCCAGAACTACTCTTTCCCCTCTGGTCTTGGGAAATGACCTCCCCTACCTGGTTGTGCGGGTGCTGGGACAGTATCCAGAGCAGAGCGATGGAAGCGCGACGCACATCCTCGCTGCCAGATGCCAGGAGAGAGCGCAGCTTGGGCAGGACGTCCTCAGCAACCATCTCGGCCCGGATGTCCGCTGGTTTGGGAAAATGACCAAGGCCAGGGAGCTTCACAGCACTGCGAGGAGGCATTCAGGCCCTGACTCATAAACATTTGACTCTGCCTCAGTGATGAAATTAGAGGGGACCTCCCCATCTCTGTGGGATGGGATGATGCTGGATGTTTGGTTATAAAAATAAACCCTCATTTGTTCTGGTTTCTTTTGCCAAAGGATTAATACAGGCTTGAGAGCAGAGAGAGAGGTTTGGGCACCCTTCAGTTTGTGTCTGAACCTCAGCGAGAAGAAACGGGAAATTTTCTGAGTCCTTCATTGGCATAAGGCCTGGTAGGAAGGTGGCAGCTTCTGCTGCACAAACAGAAAGACAGATCTCCCCAGGCACCACCTATCTTGCAGAGTTATGGTTAGCCAGGGGAGAGATCAGCCATCCTGGCTGAATCCTTATATCCCATTTGTCCCTGCAACTTCAGCAAGTGCTTTTGGGTACTAAAGGCAATGCCAGAGCAGTCAGCAGATGGAACGGCAGTCCTAAAAGGCCAAGCAGACCAGGGGTTTTCAGCCACGCCAAGGAGCAGTGCAGCAGTTCCTTCACTCCCAGCTCTGCTATAATTGTGATTGCTTGAAAATTAAGCACCTCTACATTTTCTAGATGAACAACTCTACCCTGGACCCTAGGGCTCTAGCGTTGAGCGTGCCATACTCCTGAGCATGCCATAGAAATGGATCTTGGTCATTTAATATGATAAGATTTTTTTAAGAGGATGACAAATGCTTGGGAGAAAATTATATTTAATGATAGACAGATTCATGCCTTGGGAGAAGGCAGGTCCCCACTCAAGCAGCAATTTCAGGAGACATTCTGTCCTAATCAGGTTTAATGCTTGGGAAACATGGAAGGGAGAAAAACTTAGTAAGTTGCAAAGGCTCTGTGCATATGACCTCTGCTGTCTCTCTCACTTTGTCCAGATACTTCCCCTTGCTACCTGGGAGCTCTGAGGCAGGTTTATTTAGTATATGCACTGCACCTCCCTCTTCCCTTAATATCCAATTAAAATGTAGAAAAGAGGGTACCTCTGCTTTTAATATGAAAGGTTCCCAGCCCACTGTGCTCACTCAGAAAGGCGGAGAGAAAGAAAAAGAAATAGCGTGGTTCGTTTATCTCCAAGATATTGCTTACCACTGGTAGCCAAATTTCTTAGGCAAACACATGCCTGGCTTGAAACCTGCTTGTCCCAAAGAGAGAAGGGAAAAAAAGGAGAGGTTTCAGTAATGCACGTTCTTGCCTATTGTACACAAAATAAACACTAGCAAGCTATTACGCTATCTTCAGAGCACAAATTTTGGGACACTTTTTGTTGTCAAAGTTTTGATGATTTTTTTTTTTTCCAACCTCCTCTACTATCAGTCATCCTGTTGTTGATGAGGAAGAGCCAACAGGGTTCAGATGTTTGTTTATTTTAGGCATGTCAGATAAGTTATAAGAAAATGAAAGGAGTGAATTGGTCTTGTTTGCTTTGCCTTTTTTTTTTTTTCACCTCCCTCCTACACAGAATTTAAGGTTCCACCCTTTAAATCCTGAACTGTGGCTTATTGAAGTTTCTTTGGTGTGGCTCCCAACAAAGCAAAATTTTCAAGATGTTGTTCTTTGAAGCCATATAGTCAAAGTTATGGAAACCAAAAAGAAAAAAAAAAAAGTAGCGTAATAGATGTTCAGATACTTGCTGTCGCAGACACAATGATCAAACATAGTTGACAGCCTGGACAGAACACTTCACACACATAGTTTGAAGTTTAAAGAATACAGGCCATCCTAGTCTAAAGGAAGTGTCCAGGGCTGTGGAACAACTTTAATAATTTCCCTTCTCTTTCTCCATATATTGACCTTGTAGAACCTGTGTATCTTCTAATATGTGTCTTTTCTCATGGGAAAGATGCTGCATAGGCACCTGTATAGTAGATGAGCAGAATTGTGCAAGACTGAAACTGGAAGCCCAAGTTTATAGCTTTACTCTGATGCTAAGCCTTTACAAAAAGAGAAAGCTACAGCTTTACCTTGTCCACAGAGGAGGATAGGAGAGAGATGAGTGTCCGCAGCAGGAATCTGTTACCGGGTCTCAGCATGGCTTCATGGTGCTGAATATTGGCTGCCATGTTGCTTAGGGCAGCACAGCTGTAATACTGCAGAGAACCAAGAAAAAAGTAGAGAGAGAGGAGGTCACAGTGGTGACGTGTCAAAGAGAATAAAAATAAATTGGAAAAATGCTCGGATTTAGAGCTGATGAAAATAAAGTGCTTTTTCATCTTAAGGGTGTTTTATTGGGTAGATGTGATAACAGCCTAAGCGGGCTTCCTCCAGGAAAAGCGATGCAATCTGCTGTAGCTACAAGAGCGGTCATGCTGTGGCACTGCATGTTATACAAACCCATTAGGACCCTGGGTATTTGGGAATGTAGTGTGCTGCTGCAACGACACTGCTGCTGGCACCTAAGTTAGGTCATCTGCATCTACTGTATTATATGTTTACGTTGATTTACTCAAGCTGGATATAGTCATTGCCTGAGCATGCCAAGAGATCATTTTCAAAGGATTTAAACATTAACGCTAGGGAGGATTATACATATAAGAGTATGTATTATGAGGGAGGTATAATTAGAAGAAACAGGTTGAACTGCAGAGAAGGAAATTTTAAGACGAATCTCAGAGAAAGCTGATAACGCTGAAACAGTTTGCAGAAAGCAATTCCAGAGGCTCCATCCCTTCAGACATCTCAAAGAAATCTGAATAGAGACAACAAAACCGATGGAGGAAACAATCTTATGCTACTCAGAGGACTGAATGGATGAACTAGTGGATTTTAAGGTTTACAACTCTGATTCATAGCTTTTCATCAGCATACTTTTGAACCAAGACCAGCTTTCTGTTAAGTGTGCAGAATCACAGAGGTGTCTGTGGTAGGCATAAAATAGGAAGATCTCCCAGATATTTACAATAATAAGAAGAAAATCTTTGCAAGTTACGCCTTCTCAGACTTAGTAAAATTGCTTAGAGTGGAAGATCGAAGTTAGGATGAAAAAAAACAGAGGAAGAGGCCTATCTGCAACTTGTCTGATGATCTGAAAGTCACAAGAATGTAACCGCATAACAACTGTGTGTATGCGTTAGTGTGTGCTGGCAGATGCACTTCTGCGTCATAAACTTTCTCCTGTGGAGCTAGACAAATTGAATGTTTTGAATATACATTATCTGACTGAGCTGAGTTTCACAAAGATGCTCTCACGTTTCCACACTTCTCTAGAGAAACCTTCCCTCCTCTCTACTTTTTCATTTCTACATGCTGTGGTTTGTGCTTTTCTTACAGTCACACTGTTACTGTTTAAAAATCTGACCTGTTTGAGCCATACCTGCACTTCTGAGTCAGGAGATTCCAGCAGCAAGGCAAGAACTGGTAGGGCTCCTTTCTTGCATAGGACCTGTTGGATTTTCTCTGCCATTTAAAAAAAAAAAAAAAAGGGTTTTACTGTGTATTTTCCCCTCCCCCCCGAGCTAGACAAATTGAATGTTTTGAATATACATTATCTGACTGAGCTGAGTTTCACAAAGATGCTCTCACGTTTCCACACTTCTCTAGAGAAACCTTCCCTCCTCTCTACTTTTTCATTTCTACATGCTGTGGTTTGTGCTTTTCTTACAGTCACACTGTTACTGTTTAAAAATCTGACCTGTTTGAGCCATACCTGCACTTCTGAGTCAGGAGATTCCAGCAGCAAGGCAAGAACTGGTAGGGCTCCTTTCTTGCATAGGACCTGTTGGATTTTCTCTGCCATTTAAAAAAAAAAAAAAAGTGCTGTTACTGTGTATTTCCCCTTCCCTCCCTCTCATCTGGAGGCACCATTCAAAAGGGATATGCACACTCTTTAGATTCTAGAGAGTGGTGAAGTTGTCTAAATATATGCCAATCAGTATGACTGGAGAGTATATAATTTAGAGCTTGTGCAATACAGCAGTATGCAGACATTTTAGCAAAATGACTAGCAGGCTATCTGATCGATTAAGCCTTTGCTGGTTTTATGCTAAAGACTGTTCCGAGAACCTGAATTGCTGGAGAAGCTGAAAAACCTCAGGTATGATATTCACCATGATTTCTGTATTAAAAAACCAAATTATTTAAAAAATTTTGAATAATAACAGATGTGTAATAGCCAAGTGTAGAAGTTCTTGCCAACCATTCCCTTCCACCAGATAAAGATAAGAAACATTACTCACGACTGTATCATTTAGCTGTGTGGGATAATGGTATCATCTAGATAGGTGAGATTTAATGCTGGTTTGTTTCGGAGTTAATGTATGGTAGTGCACATATTGCAGAGGACCAAATACTGCTTTTGCTAAAGCTGCTGGCAGATATCCCAGGAGCCTTTAACGTCTGGCTGATAATAGTTATATTTTGCATCTTCCAACATCAACTTAGGGATACAAGTCAAATGTTCCTAGAGCTTGACCTTGTTGGATAAGCTTCTGAGATTGCGTCAAAGTACCAAATATGCTGCTAACTTTTTAGACCAAGTTATTTCTTTAACAAATGATTATTTTGTTTCTATTTCTTTGACTGATGATTTAAGCGCTTGTACATCAGCCCCTTGGGGTTGAAAATCAAGCCTTTCTCTTTCAGTACTAGGCAAAAAAGGGCCTGTACTAGCTAAAGAGAGGCCAAACTTAAATCATCAGCCTATAGTATCAACATGAATGCCATATGCAAGGAAATAATTTGTTGCTCAGATACGCTTTTATTCTTGCCTTAACCCTTTTGAATTATTTTTCTATCAGTGAGAAATTTTCTTTCAGCAATTTTAGATAAACCATTAGTCAGAAAGTACCTGATTGTGTGAGGTTGAGAATAGCACCAACTGCATTTTGTTGGACTCTAGGATCGTAGGAATTGGCAAGAGACAGCAGGGGTGTAACTCCTTGAGCAGCGCCAATAGCCTCTCGGTTGGACTCTGGAGAAAAGAATCAGAGAAAGAAAAAAAGAAGACATTGCCATCTTACTGTGAGCCAGAAGCAGGACAACTAGCAGGACTAGATTTCTTTGGCGTTTGCTTCTCTGCTTCCTTGGTATATATCAAAATTTCTCTGCATGCTCAAAGGAGTTAAAATTTCCAAGAGCTCAATGGGAAAGAAACTAACTCGTGACTTCTGGATTAGCCACAGCTCACAGCTGGTTCAATGCTTTTGTTTTGTGACTGGGATGATTAAAATAAAAGGACTGTAAGTCCCCTTAAACAGGTTAGCAAGGTGTCATACTTGTCTTGTACCCCTGGTATGTCTGATCAAGCTATTCGCAGCATGCCAACCAAAAACTACGTAATTAACTGCAGGTAAGACTGAATTCATTTAGCAGGATATATTCAGGGCTAATTTCTCTCTTTGAATGTGCCTGTGTCACTCCTTTGACAGCTACAGACAATGCAGAGGTTTCTAAAGACAGAATTTGATTTAACCATTGGAATTTGAAAAGATGTTTCTTCTCTGAAGTGGTGATGCTTCCTTGCATGGCAGTGTATTAAGTTGTACAGTTGTATTCAACATCCTGGAGTACAAGGAGAATTCAAGAAAGATCTGCAGAGTCCCTTGAGGCTCTTAGATGAAAAACTGGGGAAAAAATAACTGTAATACTTAAATAATGCTATAAAATTAACTATATACTATAAAATATAATATAACATTTATATACTGTGTACATATTACATATGATAAAGTTATACAATGCTACGAAATATAATACAATTTAGAAAAAAAATCTGCTTTTAGTTCTACTCCTTTTGTTTTGGACTTACTGAAGGTAGCCTCAGCTGCGCCGTATAGAAGAGAATCCTCCTGTTCTGCTCTGCTCTACCCCTCTACCATGAGGCCATCAAAACATTTGCAACAAATAACCTGCGGCCACACTGAGACAGCTATGATCCTCTCCCCTTTACTCTCTTATTTATATCTATACGTTATCTGTATTTGAATCTTAAGCATTCTAGTGGCATAGTTTTGAAAAAATAAGGTGTTGGCAGTGGTGTTCTTTGAAGTTGATGAGATTTAAATGGGAATTAGACCAATGAAGAATTCTCTTAATATCATAGTATTCTGCAGATTATTTTGTAAAAGGAAAAAGCAAAGCCCATAGTCTACATCTTCCATTGTTTATATGAGCCAAACTGCCACTGAAGACCACAGGGGTTTTAGCTGAGTATTGCTTCAGTTACTTACATTTCTAGACAGTTTAAACAATGGCCAGTCTCTGGAAGTTTGCTGAGAGAAACATGAAGCAGAAGAAAGCAAGAAATATGAAGGTATTTGGATGAGATGAACTATTAAGGTGCCAACTAACTTAGAGAGTTAAGAGAACAAAGCCATTATTTCTATACACAGTGGAAACCTCTGTGGCCAAAATAAAAAAACATTATTGTTTTTTCTTTTCCCTTGGGTCATTCACTAGCTGACAAGTTCTCCTCTGCAGTCTTTGTTACTGCCCATTATTGTGGGTTTGCTGGATTTATTTTTACATATGTCATTTTCCCTTGTCCTTCTCTCCATTCTCATTCTCGTTTTGGTCAGATAATGTGGCTGAACAGTCTCTGTTTTGTCAACTTATGACAGAATGGATGGGCATATCTATCTCACCAAGATGTGTAACTGTACTATCATCTCCATAAGAGATGTGGCAGGCTAGATTATGTTTCTCTCCTGGACCACCTGTTTATCTAGGTAATGCAGTCCCTCCACTGATGCCCCTTAGAGTGCTTTTAGAAGGGAACCATGTATTCAGATGCTACTCTAAAGTGAGGAAATCAATAACATCTACTCAAGCCAAGTTTGAATAACTCACCTTGACACCTACATTTATAAATTCTTTCTTTCCACTCTCTGCCATTTGTGTGCTTGAAAATTCTCCTGTCGGTACAACTTTGAATATCCTCTACACTCATTGCATCCTCCTTGTTTAGCTTAATGCAAATGTTCAGGCCTCCCTAAACCCTTGCTGTGAATGTTTAGTTCTGTTCCTACGTACTCTGAGAAGAGTTCTTATCCCAGAACAGATTACTTTCACTCACAGATTGAAAAGCTGCAGATAATTGCAAATGTGCATGTGTCCTTTTGCTGTGTGGACAAATGCTGGTGTTGGGACAAACTGACCTTCAAATCCTTTTCATCTGAATGTGTGTTTGCTGTTTTTATTTTTGGCTACCTATTGCAGCAGGTAAGTACCAGACAACCCAGCTTACGTATAACTTGCAGTCACATTGCTAAACAGCTTCACTCTGCATGCAGTCTTGCATGCTCATTACAGCAGAATTAAGACACATTACCATTCTTGGATTTAGAATTTTAGTCACCTTAAAGCTATCCAAGGATCTTCCTAATTTGGTTGTGCTTCCATATTTATCTTTTTTAAACCACTCTGAAGCATGAATGGCTTACTTGAAGGACATGACTGAACAGAATACTTTCCTCAAGCAGACCCTTTAAGATATCAGAGTCTATGAGTTAAAATTAAAATAAACTCTAGAGAATTGCCTCTTGCTTTAGTCTCATTGCTGTGGTAGCTAAATACAGTCTGAAAAAGAAATAAATGGATGCAGTCTATCTAAATCCTAGTTAAACTAGGACAGAGATCCTCAACACTGATCAAATCCCAGGCAGCCACCCAGCCTGTGCACTTGCAGGACTGCCTACCTCTATGTTCAGCAGATGCCTTCCTATCTAGTTTGAAATCTTCTTGAGTCCTCAATTTGAACTACTTATGCTCAGAAGTACACTGACACTTAAGGGAGTGTGCAAAGGCATTAGGTGACCACCCTCAACAGAGAATGAAGGTGGATTGGATCTGGAGTTCTCTGTACTCTGGGTTAAAGACAGAGACATCTAGACATCTAGAAGGGCCAGAGTGCCTTCAGGACTAAGGAACATCCTTAGGTCCCCAAGTAAGTTGCTTTCTCTGTGGGCTGCTTCAAACACGTGAAGGGATATCTCTCTGTAGAGCTTCAGGGGCATAACTTCACTGACCATACATAAAGAAAGTCCTTCTAGTGCCAGGTACCTAAAATCTTAGTGATGCCATGCCTAAATTAGACATTTAAATGAGGCAATTTGCATTCCACACAAAGTAATGTAGCATACAGAGTTCTTAACCCGACCATAACAATATGCAATGCTTAAAAATAAGTTTCAAAGGGAAAAGTGTTTAAAAACCAGCAAATAAAAAAAAGATAGGATAAAACGCAAATAAGCATTTTCATGTAGTTGGGTCCTGCTTATCCACTCCCCCTTTGCAACATAAATACTTAAATGAGAAAGTAACACTTTCACCATGCTTCTCTCAGTCTTCTGGGAGATCTGATTGCAACTTCCCACGCTGGAGAGGGAAGCTGGTGGAATAAACACTACAGGAAGGGAAAGAAATGTTATTCATGGCTTTTATACAGGCCTTTACACAATTTGTACAGTAATTAAAGTAAAATTAACAATTTACACAGTTTGCAAAAGCTAGAATAAGCTAGACTAACCTGATAACATTTCTTTTGGTAACTGTGGTTGAACTTATCTGTCTTGATACCAAGAAAATATCTATATCATGATAAGAAATATGCATAGTTAAGTAAGAGAAGTTGGTGACAAATGCAAGTAGTACATGATGGATAAAGAACTGACTGAAAGCAAGCTGGCAGCAAGTTTTGCTGAATGGGAATGACCACCTGGAAGGAGGCTCTAAGTGGAATTCCACAAGGACTGGTCTGTAGTTGGTTTTGAACCAGAAAGTTAATGCAAAGGTGTGAGTGCAGCACTGTCAATGCAGGGGAGGACTGGAATATTTTACAAATAACAGACAAGTTAGAAGACTGAAGCAACAGAAACAGAATGAAACCTTATAGTACAAAATGCAGGGACATGCACTTGGAAACATTTGTTGCAGACCCTTAATTGGCGTCTGCTGAAAATAGTAGCAGAGGAGGAAAAAGACTAAGTGATTAAGTCAGCTGCAGGATAACAACATCACCATGACGCAATCACAAAAAATGCAAGTGTTATCATGAGATGTAACACAAAACATATTTCCATGGATGCCACAATAAAAGACACAGGTGCGACCCCAGCTGAAATACTGCACATTTCTGGTGACCTCTCTTTCAGAAAAGATGAATTCAAAATGGCACTTCTGCAGCATTTATGTACATCTTGGGACTGTAATGAAGCCTGAGGTCTGTGGTATCACAAAACAGCAGATGCAATTGCTACATGCCATTTCTGGAACATATCATTTACACCCAGAAGGGCTATGAGATGAATGGAGAGCCTCGCTTACAAGAGGAGTCTTAAATGAGCTTGGCTTTTTCAGTCTAGTAAAATGAAGAGAGCTCGTCAGCATAGACACCAGAGAGGCAGAACTACTGAAGCAAAAGCCAATGTAGACACTAATCAAGATAAGCTGGTCATGAATATATTTAGATTGGAAATCAGAAAAAGGTTTGTAAGCATAAGAGAACTAAGGTCAAAAACACTGAGAAAAAGATCTTAACTAGAATCTCAAGAGGTTGAATTTATAATGTGGGAATACCAAAATTTGCTGCTGCATCTTGTAACTCTTAATCCAATTGCAAATAGGTTGTTTCACTTTGAAATATGAGATAAGAATTGAATGAATTCACTGCAGAGGATAAAGGGAAAGAACAGCACACTCACCTGAAACGGCCAAAGTCATGGTACAGGCACAGGAATTACACTGGACAGTGGGATCCTCTGATTCAAGCAGATCCAGAATTGGCTCAAGTAATCCCATTTGGACAACTAATTCTTTGTCAGCTATTCATAAATTCAAGAAAAAATGGACAAACAGAAAAGTAAACAGTTAATGCCTTTATGAAAAGAATATATCTTCCTTTGACTGCTTTGGGGGTCTATATTACAATTATGCAAAATAGATCTAAGATGGAAACAGCCTGAAAGGCACTCACAGTCCCTAGCTTGGTTTGTTTGATTCCTCTTCAGACTCCTGAAAGAGTGTAAGAGATGTCAGAGGTTCTAGTTCAGAAGGTCCCAAATATTTCTGCTAGCAATTCTGTTTTCAAACATAAGGTTCATTTTGGAAAGTGCAACTGCAGCTTTCTAATAGGTTCACAATTTACTCAGCCCCCCACTCTTTTTCTTCTGAAGTCTACCCTTTAAATATTATTTTTCACCTGTAAATAGCGACATGATATTATTTGCAGCAAGATCCTTAAAAAAAGAAAAGAAAAAAGCTAGCTTCATTGAAGACTGACCCTGTCTTGTCAGGATATTATGTTATGGGATAGCGTGATGGAATACCCATGGTGGCCCAGGTGCCAGGGAGCACAGCAGTAGATGCAACAAAGACTCCATTGACAAGGTGCGGGGTGTTCATGCCCTGTCTATCAACATAAACTTTACTGGGAAGTTTTTCATCTGCAGCTCCCAGATGCTACCTCAATTACATTTGCCCCATTAGCTGCAGAAGAAAATGAATTCTATTAAACTTTTTTTTTTTTAAATCTGCAAGCAATTTAAGACCAAGGTCCAGTTAATAAATAACAAGAAAATGAGCACTGTCTCATTAAACATTTTTTTTTTCAATCTGCAAGCAATTTAAGACCAAGGTCCAGTTAATAAATAACAAGAAAATGAGCACTGTCTCATTAAACATTTTTTTTTTCAATCTGCAAGCAATTTAAGACCAAGGTCCAGTTAATAAATAACAAGAAAATGAGCACTGTCTCATAGGCAGAGTTTATTTCTAAGAGCTGTATCTGTCGCTTGAAAGGGTAAGTGGTGGGCTCTTGATCCAAGAATGAGAATAGTATAGCTGTTCCCACACCAGTCTGGGAATAATTTATCAGCCTTTGCACGCAGATCCAAGATCTCTTGCCACATGATATAATCTAGCTGGAGGGATCTGATATATCCTGGTGCCACCAGAATCTATGTGGCTTGCAGACAGAAACAGACTCACACCTGTCCTACCAGAAACACAAAAAAAGGAATTTGGATTTGTGTAGACCTGGGTGTGTAGATGTGCCCTCCTTCTGTCTGAGTCTGGCTGAAGAGATACTTTTTCACCTGAAGAGAGATGTGTTGTTAATTACTCACTATTTCCTTCCAGCAAGAAGTTGACAAGGGACAAGGAAGACATCTGCTGCACCTCCAGGTCAGCAGACCGTAGTAAGGCATAGAAGGGTTCCAGATGCTCCACAGGTAGGGGGACATTCACTACAGGAATGAGACGAAATATTCAGGAGTCTCATCGTTCACCGCAGTCACATTTTTCTCTTGTTGGTCTTAAGCCTCAGGTGCTACCATATATAGTTTGGTAGGTATGAGTGGTATTCCCCTTCATTTAAATTCCATTGCTACTAGCAAAACAGGGAAAGTTTCCTGAAAAGGTTTTGAATAATCAAGTACTTCAAAAACATCATGGGAAGGGAAGCAATATGCCTCGCTACCAAACAAGTCATTCCACCTCATAGCAGGTCCTCGTGTTGTAGCTATCTGCACTTTTTATCCAGCAAAAAATACATGGGATAAAGTTATCAAGCCAAGTGCCAGAATATTCTCCTTGAAGTAAATTTAACAAACAAACAAATAAGTAAATAAATTACAGCCTGCTTGTTGCTGGTATTTCTACCTTTTTGTAGGACCCAAACTCTTGCTGGAATTTTATTCGGCATATCTAGGCTGACCTCTAACCGTTTACAAATTACCTCAGGAGCCAAGTGCTCCCACAGAATAGTTGGGACAAAGAAGAATGTTTCCTTCGTAAATTTCCTCTACAATCTGGCCTCTAGAGCTTTGTCCTCTTCCAAAAATTATATAATATAAAACCTTAAATGATCATTATGTCCATTTCCTTCCACCATATTTTGACTGTGTTGCTCTCAAGAGATTCATTATACACTGACTCTAACTACTTTGGGTTCTACTGAGTTTTACAGAAATACTACAATTACATAAATGACAGTCTTTTATAATCATGAGAGAGATCTCATAGCAAAACCCAGAATGACTCTGCCCACACACAATGACAGCATTTCCATTTTCCTTAGCAAACAACATAGCATGAAAGAAAAAAAAAGAACTTTGATTCTTTGATTTCACAGTTGGAAATAATACTTTCATTTATAATTATGTGAAAATTTTCTAGTGCACTGAGATAACTTACTGTGCTGACTCATGTGCAAGTAATAGAGGGCAGCAGACTGCTGTAAACCTGGGTTTTCTGAAAAGGCTAAGGTCCTCAAGGCTTCCAGAGGGTCCTTTCCAAGTGGTGACATTTCAAAACCTAAAGATGTACAATGGCAGCACAGACTCAATTACACCTGAAAAGGGTTAGTTTACAAAAAGAAATTAAAATTTACAGCCAACCAAACACATAAGGATTTTTGTACTGCAACAACTCCATAAAGCCCATCTATCCTTACTCATGTTTCCATGAGCAGAAGCAATAAATGAATCTGGAATAACCTGTCTTTGGCAATGCCTCTTGTGAAGCTCACAAAGCTAGTGATTGGAAGCAAGACAAATTATAACCTTTAGACACTTTTATGCTATCCAATATAAATGCAGGTGTTCTTGTTCTCCATAAAAATCTTTATCTTTTCCTGAATCATAGATGATCTTTGTTAAAATATATTTACTGAACATGGTATTCTTAGTTATGAGCTATAGAAAGAGTATATATTTCTAATTTACTACATTTTAAGTTCACTGTGTTTCCTATCCTGGGTATTACAATAAAGGATTTCAGGGAATAGCAACATGGATTGCAAATGGGCTTGCCTCAGGCTCAAATTTCTAGCATGAGTCTACCTGTTCTCGAGTATGATAGTTCCCCTATGAATAAACCAGATGTTCAGCAATAGCCATCAAGCAATAGCAATCATGCATGACTTCTCTAAGTCACTGTATAATGTACTTATAATGTGTGGAATGGAGCAGCAGAGAGGGAAAAAAAAAAGGGCCATTGAGCCAATGCTCAATAGTAGCAACTGTTGAAAAGGTAATGTAGTATAAATTGACTGGTGGAGCACACAACTATAAAATATTTTTTCAGACAATAGATTAAAGCAGTGCATTAAAGATTGAAATATCTCTATGAACAAGATCTAGCCATTTTACCTCCCATGGGAAAAAGAGATGCGAGGGATGTGAGGGGTGTGAGCTTTCATCCCTCAGTGCAAAACTCTGCAAGTATCTCAAGCCATTAGAAGCTGCTGACATGTCAAGAGTAGCAAACTCCTACCTTCAGGATTAGGTAAGTGGGCTTCACAGAAGAACTGCTTATATAGAGATCAATTTTGTTTAATAATTAACAATACACACAAAGGGAAGGACTAGCCAGCGCGTGCAAGGTTTTAGAGAAAAACCAAAAATCTCTTCATGTGGTTTAAATCTGTTCCTTACACACTGACTATCTGACTCTCCCATATATCTGTGCGTTTTTGTTTGGGAGAGTGATAAAGCAGAAGCCACTCAAAATCTTCACCTGCTTATAATATCAAGCATTTGCTGTCCTAGCTAACAGCTGATGATCAACCACGAAGTCCCTCCTTGCACCCAAACTGTCCAAATGTTGGCTCCCTGCTTACTATAATTTGTCCAGAACCGAGGATGACTTGTTCCACCTTGGAATAAAATATACAGGTGAGCACTAAAGTAAGAGGGATGTGTCTTGGTTCTCTTTGTGAGGCTTCCCTGCCTCCATCTGTCTTGGCAGCAGGATTTGGCCACTCAGAGAATTAACCTTGGTTCTTCTTCCTGAGTGCTGTGTATCACCTATCATGGGCATTGGGACCTCCCTGAGAGCGCACATTGCCATCTGTGCACTGCTGTCACAGAAGCTCTAGGCTCCCTGCTGCTGTACCCCAGCTCCTGAGGATCCAAGATGGACCAGCCTTTTGAAGATCCAGCTCAGAGAGGAAAGGATTTCTCAAGAAAACATACACTTATTCTTTTCAGAAAGCACCAGTGGGTGCTGCAAAGGGCCGTTCCAGCCTCACCATTTTTTCCAGACCACCCCTTCTTTGCACCTGACCCATCAGCTGAGCTGGGATACTGCCAAGATAGTCTCTGTATTACAGAGTCAGGAGCATGCTAGCCTTTGGAAAAAAAAGTTCAGACCTGGAAGATCCCCACTGTACACCAAGCTGAAAGGTCTAGTCCTATTCCGCATATGGACTTCAGGATTTAGCCAGCGCTTAATATGCAACAATTAGTGAACCATATCAGCGGCACGGGACCCCCCACATTCATAAGGTAATGACAGCAGCTAATACTAGCTGAGGCTAATTCACGCATGTTCCCAACAACCAGCGTCACAGCAATTATTCCAAAGGTTGTTCCATGACAGATCATTTCAAACAGCATTAACTGTGCCACACCAAGGAAAAGTGTCTCTCCTGGTCCCACTCACACGATGGTTTTATGTCCCCAAGAAGGCAAATAAAGAAAGAGTAGTTTGTATTCCACACCCTTCACACAAATGAAAGTAGAAGGCTATGCAATTTTGTGTAGTAGTTTTAGCCCAAGGTTGTTAAACTTAAAGCAATGTACCCAATTAGCTGTGAGACAAAGCAAAACCAAACAAGCAACGACCCCTGCCCAAGCTTGAGACAAGGAATGATTTTAGGTTGGACAACTGACAAAACACACTCATCCGAGATGATATTCTGTGATGCAGGAGTGAAATAAAAGAAAGTTTTCCTACTGATATTGTTGTATCCTAGGACAGGATAGAGAGGACATCACAAGTAGATAAACAGGGGAATTAGGGAGGTAGCCTGTAAAGCAGAGGAGATACTTGAAGACTTATGGATCTACTTTGATTCAAGCAGAATCCTATGATTGTGTTCAAGCCCTGTGTCTAAAATGTTTGCACAAAAGCACTTAGGCAGCCCAGTTGCTTGGAACCTGAGGAAGCCCTGGGAGCTTAACGGCGCTTGTCCCAGGGTGACTTTGACCTTCCTTCCCCACATGTAGTGCAGACACCCCCAGTGCAAGTCCAGGTGTTCTCCAGCCAGCAACATGGATGTGCACAACTCAGCCAGGACCACGCTGTGATCTGCCCGCTCACAGCTCGGCACTCATGTAGCATCCAGTGTCGGTACAGCCTGTTTCCAGCTTGGTGACCTCAGTGACCGACTTCAAAAAATTAACTTCAATTACTAGAAGGACTCACTTTTATGAAACATATTTACATGGGTTATGTATTAACAGTGGTGGCAGAGCAAGAAAGTGACTGACCATTTCTACCTAAATCCAACTGTTACACCACTTGAGCCCTTGGTGTCCCATACACAAAGAAAATGCATTGTAGCTCTGGCCTCCTACATCACCAAACTGCTTCCTGCCATGCCACAGCAGTTCAGCCAGCAATCTATTTTCAACTCACAAAACGAACCTCCTTGTTCTTTCCCAACTCTTTAGAAAAAAAAACAAGCCCTCTTACCTGTTTCAATATGCTGCAGAAACTCCTGTGCTGTCACCCTCTCATGAGGCTGCAGGATAGGCTTGTACAGCTGTCTGGCTTTAGAGCTGTTTTGTTTTAAGCAGGAGCATTTGCTTATCAGAGTTACGCATTCCTTGATGCTGTGCACCAAGTCGGACGACATCCTCTGAACAAAGGCCACAAAGTCCCGCAGCAGCTGCATGCATCGTCCACACAGTTGACCCATTCTTGTTCCAACAGCAGCACAAAGCAAGAGGAAAAGGAAGGAGATGGAAATAAAAGTTCCTTCTCAACTTGTCCACGTTTTGCACTAACTTGCTGCCTCAGTGTTTGTCCTATCTTACAGATGTTATCACTACACCGTGTGCAGCTACTGTAAAGCAGGCAAGCTTCTGCATCCAAAAAACTACATTGCACAACAAGGCTGATTTCTGCAGATCTCCTGGAGTCTACAAAATATTATTTAAAAGGCCGGACTGGAGCCACATTCAAACACCCTCCCTTTGCTTGAAGAAAAATAAAATGATGACCTAAACACAGTTGTGGAGAACAAACAGATTTTAACACCTGGCACATCCACCAAAGCCTTCATGAGGCTAGAAAAGCTCTGGGATAATGGAAAAAGCAACCTGTTTTTGTAAGGCAGCTTTCCACATGAAAGGTAGGCACCACCTTGTCTGCATGTGTACAAGCTGCAGCTGCCAATGGGAGAGGAAGATCAAAAAAAAAAAAAAGGGAGCACACAAACAGGTTTTTCCAGTTTTTGCTGAAGCACGGACCAGAACAAAGGCCCTGTTGGGCAAACAGCTCCTAACTCAGCCAACTGAGATTTTGCAAATCAGCAAGAATAGAAAACTGGAAAAAAAAAATACAGTGGCCAAATGCATTTAGAACTATGTTTTCCTCCTGTCAAGCAAATCCTGCAGAGTGGGCTGGATAAGCTGGCAATATGAGGATGCAAAAATCATCTGCAGTTTTCATGCCGAAAAAGGAAGCGAAAGGAAAAAGAGCAGTTCTCCTTTTGCTCCACCCTTTTGCTTAATTCACCAGACTGGTGCATGTGCCCACCCTTAGTTGAACAGTTTTGCAAATGACCTTGGTCTAATTAATGTAGCATGAAGTGACATTTGTAATATTCTTGAGGTTTCTAGTAAAATCTGGTTTGATTCAAGATCACCTTCATTATGAAACCAGTAGGTACTGGTCTGCTGAGTGTTGATCACTTTTATTAACTTCTCTTTACCCATGGATTTGATGGATTTATTCTAACCATTGCATTTGATACATTTATTGGTAAGTTTTAGCCTCGCTGTCCTTTAATAGATCTTAAGTTTCTAAATAAATCATGTTTGAAAATCAACCCTTTGTTCTGCACCCAACTCCAAACACTGATGAACAGGCTCACCCAAATCTCACTGGTCTGTCCAGCTACTGCTATTTCTTCTCTTACTTACACATGATGCAATTTTCCTAAACACAAATACCACGCGGCACAGACAAACCCACCTACATCCATAAGCCAAAAGGTATGAGACCTCTATTACACAATGCAATCCATCACAAAGAATCAAGACTTTGATTTTTCTGGCTACTTCCTTGACCAGCTCTGCAAGCCCACCGAGTTCTGTCCTCTGTTTGGCTTCTTAATAGTATCAAAAGTGAGGCTAATGTGCCTATGTTCTCACCACGGCTTCTGGATCCTTTCAGCAGGGATCTTCTAAAATAGAGGGAACCCATGTGACTGTCAGGTCCTGCTTCTGCCACCACTTGCTTTTCACCTTTTGCTCGTGGTCTTCCACCCTTCGGCTTCCATCCTAAACGCAGTGAGGTGGCAGATCCCTGGGAACCCATCACATGCACCTCCTGTCTCTTGCTGTGTCCTGTTTACAGAACGGTAAGGTTTAATTGTTGTGAGTTTTTTTTTTAAGGTAATTTGAACTGTACTGCACGGAGATGAGAAAAAAACAGGACTGTTTCAATGAGACACTTGTTAGTAATGACTGCATTTCTGTAACATGTTCTTACTAACCATTTCAAAATGTATTACAAACATTAAAAAAGCCTTTCAATGTATCTGTAAGGAAGATATTCCCAAAATGGTTTAAAAACAAGTTGCAGTGCTGCCAAGCTCTTGTAACTCCATTTGAAATAAATGGGAGTTAAGAAACACACCACACCTGAAAATTAGGCTATAATTTGCCTAAAGGCATAAAACTCAGGTGTCCCAATACTTAGTTTGATGATTCAGTCAGGAAATTGTTCTTCTTTGATTTGAAACCGCTACTTGAAAGCTAGTGTAGAAGGGGGTCTTCAAACCTCCTCTGAATTCACAATAGCTGCTGTAAAGGTAAAGGTTGCAACCATAAACCCAATGTTTTTGATTAGTTGCATGACCTAGGTATGTTTCCTTATCTGCTTGAACAAAATGTCAGCTCAAGACTGCAGAAGTGGAATGGGAAAAAAATTAGTAGTACCATAATATTGTTAAACCATTTTGCTTATATTCTTCTAAAGAACATGTTCCAAATAGTAGAAGCCCCACACCCTGATTTTTTTTCCAAGGGAAAAAAATCAGTTCCTTTGTAAAGTGTTAAAAAAACCCTCTCCAAACCATTTCCATTCAGTTGTGTGCAAAGGAGACTTCCAAGTAGTAACCTTACTGTATGAAGACTATTTGGAATTCTGTATAAAATGCATTTGAAAGTTTAAATCTATTTGCCAAATAATAGATGAATGCTGTAGCTAAATGGCACTTTCAACAGAGAGCTTCCACTTGTCCAGCATTTTATCTGCTGTGTAGTTTCTCTGCAAAGGACAGAAAATATTGGTTTTGGGCACAGTCCCTTAAGCATTCAATACTTGCAGCAGGTTTGTTTTGTTTTGAATTAAGAACAGAAAAATCTAAAAATATATTTATTCATCTGCCATTTCACTCATGCAGCATGCCATTGCCTGAACCACTTCTTGTAATAGAAATTCCTTTATCTAGTTCGCAATGGTGCATAACTTTCGATTGCTCAAAAGTTGACTGGTACTGGAGACATGTACACAAATACTCTTTTATAGTCCTCTTTCATACATTACCTGGGGCCTCTTCATTCTAACAGGCCCAAAAAACCCTCAGGCTTTGACATGAATATTGGAAAAAACAGAGGTCAACAGCTTTATTTGAGCTATGGTAGCAAATGCTTCCCTCTTAAAGGAAGAAAATGATAGCTTCAGGTTCTGGATTTTGGAAGTACTGTTATCACTGTGATTTTAATCAGTGGAAAAGATTTTTGGGGAGTGTAGGACAGAGGCAGGGACTGAGAAAATATGGAGTCTTATTTGACTTGTGTGCCAGTCAAATAAGAAAACAGATACTTAAAGGAATGCTTAAAAAGCAGTAAATTGAAAGAATATACGTATATTACTCAAGAATCCAAAACTTCAAGAATTTGAACTAATCAAATTTGCGTTTTATGAATTTGTCCCATGTAATTTTTTATTGCAACCTTTGTCTTATATACATTTCTTCCACTGTCTTCTCTAACCCTTCTGTTCAGGGGTGAGGAAAACACTGTACAGTTTAGAAAGCTGTAAGATGATGGCTGTGCATTACTGCTTGGTTAGCAACAGATTTGATTTAAAAGGCGATAGGTCCCCTAATGCCTAGCAGGTCTTTATTGTCCCCATACCTGCAGTTAAGGCCTCCTTGCTTGTACTAATTCAGTGCAACTGCTCTTTAAACTGGATCTATGAAATTCTGTGGCTTCAAAATAACAACCAAAAAAATCAACAAACCAAAGGTATTAAGTTCTTAAACTGGATCTACCACTGACAGAATAGTGAAATAAAATCATGAATTAGAAAAAAATGGTTGAGGAAGCAGAACAGTTCTAAACCCTGAGTCTGATGTGTGTAACTTACATTACTACTAAGCTTTTTAAAATGTATCTTTTATATATATGTATTTTTTTTTAAATATATATATGTGTGTGTGTATGTATATATTCACCATTAAGATTTCAGGAAGAATTCAGGCTGTCCCCATTAAGATTTCAGGAAGAATTCAGGCTGAACAGAAACAGACTATAGTCATTTAAGCAGGGAGGAAGCCAGATGCGAGGGCTTGATAGATCCAGATTTGTGAAAAACTGCCAGGGGTTACTTCATTGCATAGTTAGGCAGAGCTTTGTTTGCATTCACTGCAATTTCTGTAGAGTATAAAGGAAGTTGCTCTCGCTGCATCAAACTCCTTGGCTGAGGTATTTGCTCATCCTCGCTCAGAGGGAGAGTGCCATCTACTGAAGCATCCCCTTTACACAGCTCCCTTGAGACTTGTACTACTCATGGATTGACAAAATTTACCGACGGGGGATGTAAAACTGAGCAAGGTTTTAACAGGAGGAGAAGCTGCTTTAGGTGTGAATCCCTATTGTAAAGTAACATTTCATGAAGAGATTAGAAACAACCTCTGGTTGTTTCATGAAGAGATTAAAAACAAACCTCTGGGTTTCTTCATTCTTAAGAAATCTTTGGAATTGAGGTTACATTATCATTTTGTAACACTTAAGAGTGGCATTCCCTGATGGGACGCTGACTATTAACCATGGACTTTCCTACTCGTTTCGTCTTTCTACATTAGTGCTCAGAAGATGTACAAGTACTCGGCTGACTCACTCAGTAGTGAGCACATCTGCTAACAGTCAGCAAGAGTTTGGCTTAGGCCAGTGATGACACAGTATTATTGTGCCACTTTGTCTACATTTAACTTCCCGTTGCCTTGAATCTTGTACTTTATTGTAAATTTTCTGGACTGTTGCTGCATTCAAATAAAGCGGCACTTTGTGTCATGCCCAGAGCTACTATCTCCTATGATAATAATAAACACATAAATTAAAATTTGGCAAATTTTTTGCTTTGTAGCAAAAGATAGTGCCTCTAAAACATCAAAGGTAGGTCAGAGGTGCCTACGTACCTTAGAAGTTTGAACGAACTGTAAAAAAAAAACACATCTGAAATTTTATGAGGTAAATTACCATGCAAAGGCAGGGCATCAAGTATTTGAAGAAGTATACCAGCTTGCAGGACAGAGGTGAAAGGAGACCTGTCAGGTTGTGTTTCATGGACAATATGTGTTTCAAGGCACAGGTGCATGTCCTGATTTTGCTAACAAGGGGCTGCACTGAAGCATCACACAGCCCATAGCTCAATATCAAATTCTTGATAAAACGAGGAATGAACAAAACTTGAAACAACTTGCAATATTTGCCATTAGGCAAATATTTTGCCTAATATATTTGCAAAAAGTTTCACATTATAGGTTTTTTGTTTTGTTTTCTTATGGGCCCGTAGTATGTTGTCTTAAATACAATGGAGAACTGAAAGAGTAGAAGTGACCACCCTTTCTGTCCCAGTAAGATATATCCCACATATCTTGGAAAATAGAGGAGAGCTCTCCATCACTGAAGGGAAATAACATGAGCATCCCACAGGCCTTCAGAACCATTAAGAAAGGGGTGTGCGTGGGGGGGTTGTGTGCAGCCAAATCCCAACAATTCTGGAAACCTTACTGGCCCTAGCAAGCTGGCTTCCTCCCACAAGTGCTTATCAAGCAGCCTCCATGTTAATAGCATCTTATTGTTGGTTACAGCAAAAGCTGTAGCACGAGCTGCACTCAAGCTACAGGTTAGTTACCCCTGCATAAAGGAAAAAGCTTAAAAGGAGAGAGGGAATTGTGTGTCTGTAGGCCAGGCTGCTCATCAGTTAACCACAACTGGTCAGAACTAAAAACTTTCACCACGTTTATGTTTTAGCATCAGCCACTCATTGGTTGCTGCCTTCATAGAAGGCCATGTTTAAAGCACTTAGCAGCCAAAAAAAATTATACACTGTATAATTAAAACACCACCATAGGTTAGATAGATCTAAGCAGTGCATTACTTTCTCTATGCAGGAAATGGCAAACCAGCATTTGGGGATTGTGTCTGCCTTTTGGCAGATTTTGGGGATCTGATGCCTTTTTCCTCCATCAGTTGATTTGGGCTGCCTCCCAGTCATTGTCCCCTGAATTTAAAAACTTAGCTAAAACCGTGCATATGCATCTTTTCCTGCTCTTTTTTTTTATAGTTTTTTTTTTCCTTTGCCTCAGAAATAATCTGCAATAGCCTTTAAAAAAAAATAAATCAGCTGTGTAAGATTTGAGTAGCTTAGATTTAGGACCTAGTCAGCCGACACACATCTTTGTGCCTCAGTCAATACTGTTCACCCACAGCCCTTTGCTGCACTTTTTGGTGGTACAGAAACCCCTCGGGCAATTTCCCCGGGGCACGCTTTCCCCAAACGCTGCGCCGCTGTATTGCAACCAAGCGATGGGCGCACATCTGCTGCAAAAGCTGCTGCAGTAAAGTACCGCTGCTACGCGATCTCCTTCCTGGTGCACGGGAGCGTCGGATGCAAATGCCGCTTGATGGTGCTCCGCTGGCTGGGCTCCGCTTTACAGACAAGCCCTTCCAAGCAACTCCCGTGGATGGATGCGCACCCCGCCCGACAGGTAACCAGGCAGCGGCTCGGCCGGCGGGAGGAGGGCCCGACCCCTCGGATCGCTCTTTGGGGAAGGAGCGGATAAAAGGCGACAGCTTTTAGTTGCGGCGGCGCGGGAGGAGACAAGAGCTGCAGCCGGCGGGGCACGGAGCCCCCGGCCGGGGGACAGGGTGAGGGGGCGTCGGGCAGGGCCGGGCCGGGCCGCGCCGCTCCCCCGGGGCACAGGCCCGGGGGCA